CAGATTATGTCTCAGCCTCAAGTCTGAAAGGCCATATTTCTTTAGTTTTCCCTAATAACATGCAATACTCCAAATACTGGTCACACTTCAGACCCAGAGCTGAGATTCTTTGTGGGGCAGCCTGAATACAGCTGAGGTTTCGTGAAGGAGGTGGGGAGTGTTTGATGATCTGATGTTTGTCACTGACGTCTCCAAGCACTATGGGGCTGTTCATTCTACTCCAGGGCAGGAGCAAATTCCCATATTAGTGGCCTACCTGTTCCATATGCTAACAGTCAATGTGTGTTAGCATATTTAACACCTATAAAGGCACTCTAGGATCCATCCCAAGGGAAGAAGCTATAGAAAATAAAGCTGTTCATCACAGCACTGGTAAATGGAGATGGATTATTAATCAGGGAGCACCAGCACAGAAGAAATCCATTTGCCCTCACTCTCCTTCCACTGATAAATGTACAGGACAAAACAAAACTGTTTGCTCCATACCAACAAGTGAAGACATCTGGGTCATTTTACTTCTTGAGGTGGGTCCAATAGATAGCCAGGCTGGCCACAGACAAATCATCCTGCTGCAGACTTCTCCAAGTGCTGGGGTTATAGGTGAGAGCTGCCAGGCCCAACCAGGTATCTGATTCTAAACAGTGTGCACAGGTCCTAGGATCTCCTTTCTGCTCCAACCACCTTCCTTTAGGAAAAGATATACATTGGTGCTGGCTGCATCCCAGAGACTTGGCATTGTGACTTTTCCTGGGGAGAGATATCTGTGCACCTCAGATGGGGCACTCATGGGGATGTTCTTCTGTACATATATTTCTCTTATTGGTTGATGAATAAAACACTGATTGGCCAGGCAGAAAGATAGGTGGGGCTACCAGACTAGGAGCTGAGGAGAATTCTGGGAAAGGTAAACAGAGAGGGCCACTGTCAGAACAGTTGCCATGTAGGTCGCCAAAGGAGTAGCAGGTCCAGACCCTTCTCTGGTAAGATAAGACCAGGTGGAAATACTTAGATTAATAAAAATGGGTTAATAAGACAGACCTAGCTAAATAAGAAGCCCAACCACTAGCCAACAGTTCCATAATTAATATAGTGTCTGTGTGTTCATTTGGGGCTGACGGGTGGTGGGATCATCCAGGACAAAGAACCTCACTAAACAGGGCACCAGTCACAGCCCAAAGAAATGAGTCTTTTGAATTACTCACGGTGGGGGGGGGTGCCACGAGGGTGACTCAAACACAGCCACATGACCAAAAAGCCCACCTAGCTGGGGTGAAGACACAGAAACTGTCCCTGGAGCTCCCTCATGCCTTGTAAGCAGCTCAGCTGGCTTGAGTCTTTTCTCTCTCCAGTAGTTCCTGCTGCTTTTATAACCTTGGGGCCAGGTCTTGTGACTCTGGTAACCGGGAACTTCCTTGCCTGGGGACTCACATGATTTTCTTCTCCTTCCAGGAAGGGAGTCAATTAGGAGAAAATGGTTCCACAACTAGCTTAGGGGTTTGCCAGACAAGGATTTTGACAGCTTCCTGTCATGTGCACAAGAAGGACATTCTTGGCTATCAATGAGACTAGGTGTGGAGCTCTGTCCGGGCATGAAATGAAATCAGAGTTGGTGTGATGAATTACATGAGACTCATAAGATCAGCTCCGTTGACATCACCTCATGGGGAGGAAGGGGTTCTGAGCTCCCCCCAGCCTCCAAGTGACTGGGGTGGAGGAGCACCTCTGTGGTATAGCTGCCAGTAAGTTCTCACGCTGCTGTGTATAATATCACTAAACTCACTGGTTCACTGGGTTTGGAGGGGCTTGTTTCTCTGGTGTGCCATTACCTTCGGTATATGAGGTGAACAGAAGTAGATTTTCTAGGGAAAGTCACATGACACTGAAGCTAGGAGGTTTGGTTGGGACTCTGAGTTTTTCAATTCTTCTTTCTTTGTGAAAAATACTCAGTTCCTCGTGTCCAGAATCCCAGCTTCTTTTTTTTTTCTAAGATTTATTTATTATGTGTACAGTGCTCTGCCGTCATGTATGCCTGCATGCCAGAAGAGGGCACCAGCTTCTTAAACTGCAGGTTTACCAGCCTGAAAAGCCAACATGTAACTGGCGTCCACACATTCGGTATCTGTGAAGACCACTGCTGGTATCTGATGTCGGATATTGTGCGTGTAGCCATGTGTTATCCCCAGGTGAAAGAGGCACAGATCCTCTCCACGCTGGTGCCTGTCCAGCCAGGGGCCCTAGAGGGTTGCGTGGACCCCAGGAGTGGTCACCTAAGGTCTAAGGAGTAAGTACAGTGGAAAATTTCAGATTCCTTTTTTAAAATTTAATGCAGCTTAAGTTTTCCATAACAAACAAATTATTTTCTTTTATTTGTAATAAAAAAAATGAGGGCCTGCCTTGGATTAGATGAACTTTCTCTAAAATCCTGAGATCTCTGTGGGGCCTGCCTGCTCCCAGCTTCTCTTCTGCCCTTGGCTTCTTGGGGGGTCAGTTTTGTTCCCCAACACATTCCACTTGGAAACACTGCTCTGGGGTCTGATGGGAACAGAGTGCTGGCAGCCAGAGCACTGCTCGGTCCCTCATGCATCTAGGTTGCTAAGGGTACCAGTGGGCCAGGGACAGGCAGGGCAGACAACAGGTGGGTGCCGCCTCTAGCTATGGGCCAGGTATGTGGAAAAGATGCAGCTGAGATGGGAGAATTCTTTTAAAAAAAGGCAAATAAAAACAGTTCCCCAAGCCCACAGCTGGCATCTGAGAGCGGGTAGGACATCAGGGAGAGATGGCCAGTGTAGGGGCCTAGGATGGTTGGGGAGCATGGGCAAGTCACTAGCAGCTGCAGAAAGAGGGCTGTTCTTTCAGGAATGGGCTGATCCAGGAGCCTGGGGACACAGAGACCCAACACACTCCCAGCCCCAACACTCAGCATTTTCAACCCAGCCACACCCAGGGCCTTCAGAGAAAGGCTTCCTGGAATCAGTTCTGAACAGCTTGCGTATGTGCTATTTTGCAATAGGGAATACTTTAAGGCCCCATTTATTCATTAATTCATTTATTTGATATTTTTGGCATTACGAAGTCACACCATATAAAAGCCCTTCCTTTACAGACACACCCTCTTGAGCTCATCTCCTCCTCCCAGGTGAGACGCCAGGGCTCTCTGCCAAGTTGAAGGACAGGCACTCCCTCTGCCCACCATTTGTAAGAACCTCACCACTCTTGTCTTCCTTCTTGGTCATGAAGCAGGTGACACATGGCTGGGACAGCAACTTAGCCTTAATGGTGTGCTCTCCTGACCATGACACCTGGGATGGGACTTTCTCCTCTGCCATGACTGTGACTGGAATCCCTGGGTCCTTCAGCTGTTTTGGCTGAGCTTTTGAAAGTGATTGAGCCTTAGTCTTTATCCCTTTCTATTTATCTTGATGAACTTGGTAAGTCTCCTGAACACGTGAGCTGTCCCTGCTTCCTAACTTGGTGGTGGATGTCTGGGAAGCTTACCAAGTCCCGTGGGAGCAGCAACTGGCCAAAACAGCAACTCAAGGGCAGTAACTGACCTTGTTCCTGTTTGGAAGCATGCATTGTTCAGGCTTTGTGTTCCTAAAGAGGCAGGTTGGAGACTGGTCTAGAGAACATGGCCTCATGCACAAGTCAGTCCCTCTTCTTTGGTGGCCTCTGGGTACTAGGACAATGGAACTATTTCCAAATGTCCCTCTCTTACCACCAGCTCTGGCTGCCATCTGCTGTTCCCTAAACCTACCTTGTTCTGGTCTGTGGAAGCAGAGTTCACTGAAATTCTGTAATGGGACTGAAATAGGCCAGGACATACCCAGTGTGGGACTAAGAGCATTAGGAAAATGACAGGGGTATGGACTAGAGGTCTTAAAACAGGCTCCTTTCCCAAGGATGCCACCAAATCACTTGAGGTACCAGGGCCTTTCATGTTTCTCGTTTATTTGATTTTCTAAGATATTCTATGTGTAAGGCTCACCAACACCATCAGTTTGAGGGGACTTCTGAGCCCACAGGCTAATTGCTGGATAGCTGTTTCTGTATCCAGGCAGGAGGTTGTATAGTGCTTGGCTGTGCATGTCTCTGGAAGACAATGCACACTTTCAGCTGCAATTTAAATAAGGCCTGGCTGTAAAGCTTCAAGAACCACATTTTAAAATTCAGAAAAAAAATAGCAACAACAAAAACCTCTACATTTCAGCTTTTCTTGGTAACTTCAGAGTTGGAACAAAACCAGCTGATGTGTTTCCAACCTGCTTGTACAAGTTCTTGGAGGCCAAGGTAAACCGAACTAGCCTCCTCCCCACAGTGGAAGAAACTCAGCTGTTTCTCCACGTAGCTGGAGACATTCACATGCTGACTGACTGCTAGGGAACACTGAGGCAGGGGCTTCTGCTGGAGGGTATTGCCAGACTAGCAGGAGGGGCACAACCAAAACCATGGTCTACTGCCTCATTCCTGCTGTGCTGGGCTTGCCCAGGTGTAGAGTCATCTGGAAGCTTCCCCCTTCTGCATTGATGGGTCAGATCCCACCAGGGTAGAAACAATAAGAGTTTCCATCTTAGGTAAGCCGTTGTTAGCCAGCTTGAGCTCAGCACTTGAGCTGTAACCACGTTTCTCTATAATGTAGGGTGCATTTTCTGTGTTTCTCTTTAATGTAGGGTGCATTTCCTATGCACAGCAGAGTTCCCAAGTAGAGACCAAGAACTTGAGGATAGAGTCCGGATCCTCACTGGCCTTTGACATAAACAGTCAGGTACCTCATTTAAAACCCTTGGGGTAAACAGAGTCAGGAACCTCGATGAAACTCTTGAGGAGTTTTATGGAGAAGAAAATAAGTAGTAAGCAATAAGGAAGAGTTAGGAAGGGGTATGACTGGGTTACCCTACTTCTCCAAAGCCCCTGAGTCACAGTACCAGCCAAGCCCAGCACAGCAGGAATGAGTTGCTAGGTTTATACAGTTACATTTGACAATGATGGAACCAAGACAGTAGGCAGGTGTTCGAACATTTATTGTAAGCCACTGGGGCCACTGCTCTGAGCCGTACACCGGAATAGGCTACACATACACAAGAGGCTAGAGGGCCATACAGGGGAAAACGGAGAGAGAAACATTCACAGTGCCGAGCAGCATTTATTTACAGGGATACAGTCATCTTAATGTCACAGATTAGTCTCACTCAGTGCCAGCTCATCACATTTATGTTAGGATCAAGAGCAGTGGGTGTGGTTGGTGGAATCCAGTGGCAGGGAACATAGCAACTACCAGAGGGGTTTGACTCAAGCCACCATGGAGAGGCCTGTTCTAGCTTCTGGCTTCAGGCTTTGTAGCGGCCTGTTCTAGCTTCTGGCTTCAGGCTTTGTAGCGGCCTGTTCTAGCTTCTGGCTTCAGGCTGTGTAGTGGCCTGTTCTAGCTTCTGGCTTCAGGCTGTGTAGCATGCTTAGCTGAGCCCTCTCCTAATCTCCTAATTCCTGATTTTTCTGGAAAAAGACACCCATAAGGTAACAAACCCATGGCAGCCACATCCAGGCCCCAGGTGGCAGTTGTGCAAAGGGAAGAACCCAAGTTCCTGGTCACAATACAACAATTGACAGGTACAACTGTGGGGTTAGTACCTTCCCTGCTGACAGTTTTCACACTTGTCAAGCAGGATATTTTTTTTCCTCCCCAAATGACAATACCTTGAAAAATCCATTTAAAATGCAAGGCAAATGGCATAAATGCCAAGTACACACAGAACAATGGTAATGGTGCTGTAAGTGTTTTGGTCCACACTTCATACTGGCGTACACTATGAATGAAAGGCTGCAAATCCATCAAAATGGTAAGTATTCAGAAGTAAAATGCTCAAACTGCTTTCTCTTTAAAAAAAAAATTGCCCACTAATATATCCCAAAGAACCAAGCAAAAAAAAAAAAAACATAAATATTTAAGTCAGATTTGAACAAATTTGCATTTCCTAAACACTTTGTCTCCCCAGTAAGATCCTCTCAGTTCCTAAAGGTGAACACATTGAGGTATCTTAAATGAGATAGTACTGACAATTAAGTTCACCATCTTTTTCTAAAACTACACCTACTAGGTTCTAGAAGAAAAAAGTCAGAAGCAACTCCCTGGTCTGCCAGTGTGTTCATATGCCTGAGTGAGGCCGGCTATGTGACGGGGCAGTTTGAGTTAGTCCCGTAATTGGCAACACTCACAGAGTCAGAAGGAACCATAAGCACCCAAGCAGAGTTCATGCCTCACTCAGAAATCTGATCTCCTTTTCAAAACCTTTGACAATAGGCTCTGGCACAGAGGTCCACGGGAGGACTGCTGCCCGTGTTAGCCCCTAGGCGCTTGGTAAAAGGTGATAACGCAGACCCAAACCCCTGAAGGTCAGTGTGCAGTTCTTGGCTATCAAGATGAGCTACAGTTCACAGGAGCAGGCAGACATTCCTGGCAGGACCTCACAGCTTGACAAAGTGGCAAACCAAGTAACTTGAGTGTTATTTCATTTGTGCCGAGTATTCACTTTTACACCAGCAAAAATTTCACCTAACATCTTAAAGGAAAAAAATAAGAGCACTTTGGAAAAATGTTTTTCTTTTGCTTTAAAATATAAATCTTAGTGAATAAGCTCACTTATATACAAATATAAATATATATATATTATGAAAAAGCAAAACCAAAGGCCCCATTTATGAATATTTCTGTATACTGTGACACATAGTTCAGAACTATTTATTCTTTTGCTTTAAAGTTAAAATTCAAGCTTTGTAAGGATTGATGTTAAACAAAAATACAGTATAGTTTTAAATTATGACTCTGAGATGCTGAGAAGGTGATATCTCACAAGGACGAACACTGTAAGCCCAGACTCAGTGGAGCAGCCCTTAGCCAGCAGGGCAGTGGGAACTCCAGGGGTGGCCGGTGGGGTATGGTATATGGGGGTTGTTGACATACAGATAAATGGGACTACTGGTCTTTGCAATAACATGCACCACTCAGAACCATAGGCAGGCACCAAACGTTATGTCAAATTTTCCCAAAACAGTAGCAAACCTGATTCCAGAGACTTCCTGCCCCAGGCAAGAAAGGGCTGCTATTGGTAATAGCAAAAGCCATTGTTCTTTGAGATTCTCGTTTATACCTTATCCCTATCTAACTGCCTAGTGGGACTAACCTAGGACATCTGAGATCTCAAGATCCCCTTCCAATGCTGTAATTTCATGAATAATTGAATTAACCAAGAAACACATTATGTTGACTGACCTTTTATAAAATGACACAAAATTCCAAGTATTTATTTCTAAAACCATTTTTTTCTTTTCTTTTCTTTTTTTTCTTCTAAGGTGTAGACGCACCCAGGTAGCTGTTAAATGCTTTCCTTTGGAGAAACTAACAGTATCAGGTGCTTTGCATCCACAAGGAACAAATTCCATGCACATGAGGTCTCCCTACTTCCCAACAGGCTATGCTCACCACCATCTCCAGAGCTGAGGTTTCCACAGTAGAGGGGGAAAAAACCGAAGTGCAAACAAAACAGGATGATAGATTTGTGGTTTTTTTCTTTTTACTCAGAGGAGACACAAGCCAAGTGCCATGCCAGCGCTCATGCCTGATAGACGAAGCCTTCTTTTTCAGAGAATGCTTGGAAATCTGTCAGCTCCAGAATGCATTTTCTATGAGATAAGAGCACCAGGCAAACCCAGCATCCACAGTGCATCCCTGTGTGCATATACAGTTGTTTTGATACACTTTTTCCAACAAATTCACATGGGTAAAAGGAAAGGGCAGAGCTGTGGTTATCTGTGGTATACAACCATGATTTTCATCACTGTGAAGTTTCAACCTCTGGAGACCCTTCAGCATGAGCTGTAGCTGGGAGGTGACCAGTGTAGGGCCATCTGATAGTGTTCTAATGAAGTGCTGCTCTCCTTTCTCCTTCACGAGGGTTGACCAGATGTCCCGGCTGGACACACACACACACACACACACACACACACACACACACACACACACACACACACACACACACACACACACACTCACTCTCTCTCTCTCTCTCTCTCTCTCTCTCTCTCTCCAATGGTAATCCATTTCCTAGGAGTCTGAATTGATCTCTACATTAGTGGAAATCCACACAGGCTTGCTGGGCTGGGTGCCTGAGCCTCCAGTTTCCTAATACTGTATTTTCTTCCCCATGTGCAGTCATGCTCCAGTTCAAAGAGACTGATTTCCAACATACAGTTCTCTACAACTTGAGGAGTGGCTGTAGATTCTACCAATCAACTGTACCATTGATATTTGAATATTTTAGCTCTGATTCTCTTTTCAAAGCTCTGTGATGGAGTTTTCATGCAGAGAAGACTCAAACCAGTTAGAGTGGCCTAACTGAACCTAGGTGGCATTTCATGGAACAGGCCATTAAACCACTTCCTGGAGAGTGTGCAAGTTCTGCTCTCACACCACAGTTGCCAGGGGTGTGGCTGTGGGAGGTGTACACCAGGCCTGCTTCCCACTGCCAGTCAGCAGAAGTGGCTCCAGGATGTCTTGTCCAGGAAGCATTCTGGGTCGTCAGTGCTAAAGGTGGTATCCAAGTATGGTTACTACTGCTTCTTCCAGAAACAGAAGCAATGATGACATAGGGGAAACTGCTTTTCTAGGAACAGAACCAAGATAATAGGGAGAACTATAATTTCATTTAAGTACTTCATGCCTGGAAACACCTGTTAAATCAGGAGTGAAGAAGATACTGTGGAGGTATGACATGGAAAGTCAGGGCAAGCAATCAGCCTGTGTACCCACAGGACTTTGACCTGGCACCCTCACTGATACCCTAATGGGTGAGCATGTGTGAAGTGCTTGGATGGGCCAGCTTCCAGGCTTGCTACTACTTTTAATGTACCTTGATATCCTGAAGTGAGTGAGTCCTTACTGTCCCTTATCAAGCTGGACTGATTTCCTTAGGAGAATTCTGTTCCGTTTCTTAGTACCTCTGTTTAAATCACATACTGGCTTCATAGAAAGGTATACATTAGCACATAGATGCATAGATACCTGGTTTTTAAAGGGAAACTAAATATGGATGGTGAAGACAGCAGGATTCTAATTTGAAAGTAATAAACTCTCACATTTAGAGGCAACACCATGTAGAAAGATGCATGGAGCATGGACATTTTTGTTTGTCTTTTATGTTACAAATAAAGGAAAGCTACAAAAAAAAAATCAAAATCCCCAAAGTCCAAAATGCAAAAGGCTCAAGAAGCCCTCACTGAATTTGGAAAGACACAGGCACTGCAGGGCGAGGCTGAGTCATGTGACTGGTGTTCAGGCTGACAGTGGACAGCAGTTTCTGAAAGCATTTCCTAATGTGGGATGAAAGAGAATGCTGAAGCAGAAATGCAGGCATTTCCAACGACATAACTGCTCCCCACAGGTGACTCAAGGTGCCAGCTGTCGGACACATGCGGTTTTCTAACTCTTATCTGGCCATGGAAGCAGAACACCAGAACAAACTATAATCATACACTCTGGCAACAGGAAAGTGTGGCCAGTAAAGGAAGACTCAAGAAAAGAGAAAAGCTCTGTCTGGTACATGCTGAGGTGAAGAGAATGTGGAGACTGCTTTATACGACACAATATCTTCAACACATATCTCTCTCTTTTTTCCTGACACAGAAAGCAACAAGCACAATGAAAGACTGAGACACAAGACACTTAAACATCCCACACAGATTTTGCAATATACTCAAAACAATGCAGCACAGCCAGGCTGTATAAACCATTTGATAAAAAAATATCTTCTTTTATGTTGTAAGGACAATTGAAGAGTCTCTTCCACTCTTCACTGCACCAGTACGGGGAGAACACAGATTCACTTTGAGCCTTTAGTTTCTCTTCCTGCTCATCTCTATGTACTTTCCTTTTCCTGTAATGATTTCAGGCTCAAACAAGTGTTTCTTTAGTGAAGACTATCTTCTAGTCCCTGGGAGAGTCATCATGACACGACTGGGGTCATATCCCACAACTGCAAAGGAGAAAAACATGCCAACGAGGAATTAAGATCAAACTTTACTGAGGAACAATGCTTAGAATGGCATTAATTCAAAGTAGGGTTTTGTTTTTTCCCCAGTAATCAAACAAATACTAGCCTGACTTCTACATAAGGGTAGCTACATGTTGCTCCAGCTAAGGAGCGTTAAGGCAGATCAGATCCACTGAAGGAGAGAGAAGCCAGCATATCCTGGTCATGCCTTTCCATAGACTTCCCAGGGAACCTTCCAAACAATTCTCTAAGACATCAAAAGAGAAGGGCCAAGGTCTCAGAGTTTGGCTGACCCTTGCTTGAAGTAATTTCTAGCAACTTCATCCTGTTGCTGCCTCCAAAACTGGGCAGGATGACAGAGTCGCCCCTGTGTTCTGGGCCTCTGCTGTGGCAGTGAGTCCATGTGGCTTCAGAGGAGTAGAGTGGATAAACACTCTTGGAGTCATTAATTTCAGCAGGAGAAAGCTTCTGCATGACTTGGTGACTGATTCTGGCCTGCCTTCCAACCTCCATTTAGTTCAAGACCACCCACTATAGAGAGCTTCCCAAGCTGCTCCCCTCCCTCTGAGAATCCTGGCTACTGTCTCTCATGTTACTCTTGGGACTTCTGCACATGTGACTTATTGTCTAATGTGTGTTTATGTATGTGAAAGTTATAGGACAACCTTAATTGTTGCTCCTTGGGAGTTATCCACCTTGGCCTTTTGAGACAGCATCTGTCACTGAGACCCATGGCTCATTGACTAAGCCAGGCTGCTTGGCTAGTCCTCTGGGATACACCTTACTCTACCTCCCTAGCTCTGTAATTACAGTTTGCCATCAGGCCCACTTTTTTTTATGCTCAGGTCCTTGCAAGCACTCTACCAACTGGACAACCTCCATGGGGTCCCGTATTGGCTTTTAAAGATCAAATTCTAAGTAAATTATCCTACAAATCAGAGTGTCGAGTGCAGTGGGCTCTCGATAATGCTCACTTTCATGGGTGACATGAACACAGACAGCCTCACAGTTTTTGATCCTGTCTGTATACGAGGCCCACAGTAGGAAGTTTAACAAGATGGCAACTTACCTTAATCACTTTGTCAGTTCCGGAAGTCAGTAACCATCCCCTGGTGGCATCAAAATGCACATGCACAATATTATGCTTGCTGTCATGGAAGGTGGCGGTGGGTGCACGTCTGGAAGGAGCAAGACCAGAGTAAAAGGTGACTTAGATCCTCACTTTTAGCCCAATGGCTAACACTGCTTCACTGTTAGAAATGCTCATGCTTCTGCTCCTTGGTACATGATTTTATTATTCATTTAGTGTGTGTGTGTGTGTGTGTGTGTGTGTGTGTGTGTGTGTGTGCGCGAGCGTGTGTGTGTAAATGCACACCAGGAGATCAGAGGACAGCTCTCAGGAGTCGGTTCTCTCCTGTTAGCCCCTGGGACTCAGAGAGTGAGCGGAGGCAGTCAGGCTCAGGCATGAGCGCCTCTATTCACCCAACTGTCTCACTGGCCCTATTACAAGATTTTACAAGGATAGCAAGGTAAGATAATTCTTCTGGTCTCCAGAATAGGAAAGATGAAAGCCCCCAAGGTCCTTCAGGAAAGAGTTCTGTTATGATGGGATCCATGAAATTTTCAACTTGTGCTTTGGAGAACTCTTTTAAAGACCTTTGCTAAGTCTATGCTTAGGAGGAAGGAATATACTCTAGCTTAGCCTATTTTATTTTAAAGGTGTGGTTGTTAAAATGCCCAAGATACTGCTGTCTGTGTAACTGAAGACCACCCATGCTTTCTTCCCTTTCCAAATGGTGTAAATGCAAATAAAAGTTAAAAAAAATTGTACTCTAAAGTTTCACTAAAGCAATATATATGTATGAACGTGTGTGTGTGTGTGTGTGTGTGTGTGTGTGTGTGTGTGTTTATGCATGGCCAAGAAACATAAATATCTTAACACACACACACACACACCCCATTGCTTGTTCTGTGTTCTTGGGTCTATGACTTTGCTGCCAATTTCCGTGAGCAGGCCCATTGGCTGCCTTGGCACTCTATAGGCAGGTCTACAGTGCTTGCCAGAGACTAGGCAGAAGAGGCAGAGGTGGAGCTGGTAGGTCAGGCAGATGCCCTCACTGTGCTTCAGGGTCTCTATGCGGCTGTGAGCACTCAGCAGGTGACTGTCTCTTGGCCTTAGTTGAATCTACAGGAAATACTTCAGTAGTGAAATGAGCATTGTAAATGATTTCAGTTTAAGTTTAAATTTCTTAGACTCAGATCTGTCTTTATAGAATGAAGAACTGAACTCAACCATCTTTAAGGCCCCCTGCAGTTTTCTTCAATGATCAGAACTCCCATTAATCTCATCATGTTCTTGACTGGGCAAATAATCAGTGCACATGAACAACCACTTTGGCAAGGACATCTTGATGTGTATTGGATAGGGTGATGTGCTCTGACTGTACCACAAAGTGTTGGGAGGACAGGAGACTGGTTATCCTCCTGAACCCACTAGGGGCAAACTTGTCTCTGTGCATTCGATAGTGTCTGGAGTAGCTTTCAGTTCTCAGAGGTGCTCCTTCCAAATCAGAGCTAAGATCTCAGGACACCAAGCAGAATTCACCAGTTGAGTGGTGGGCTCCTGGAACTAATGCCATCCTGAAAAACAGGCTTAGCTCTTGCCAGAACCTAACAACTGCTGGACCCAGGCAAGTACTGGCCTTAGCTTCCTGGGATATTCTCAGTGGGCATGCAGACAGCTTTACTTGAGATCATCTGCTATAGACACACACTGAGAGCCTAGCAGGGAATTCTTTGAGCTTATCCTCTCTTCACCTCTCCCTCCCTCTCTCTCTCTGTCTGTCTGTCTCTCTGTGTGTCTGTTTGTCTCTGTCTCTCTCTCTCTTTGTCTCTCTCTGTCTGTCTCTCTCTCTGTGTGTGTCTCTGTCTCTGTCTGTCTCTCTCTGTCTCTGTCTGTCTGTCTCTGTGTCTCTCTCTGTGTGTGTCTCTCTCTGTCTCTGTGTCTGTCTGTCTCTTTCTCTGTGTCTCTCTCTTTCTCTGTCTTTGTCTCTGTCTCTCTGTCTCTGTCTCTGTCTCTGTCTCTCTCTCTCTCAATCACAGAAACCTCTTGGTGACACAGGGCTTTTTCTGCATGTTTCTGTCTGTACGACCACCTCAGCAAGCTAGGCAGGTAGACTAGCTCTGGAGTGGAATTCTCAGTCTAGGTTTTGTCCATAACCTGGAAGGGTGCAGGGCATGGGACTTACTCTTCATCTGTGATGGCCTCGTGGCAGCTGTCGCAGACCCGGACTTCAAACTCAAAGCCCATGAGTGGGATGGAAGAACGCTTGGAGCTACACTTGCCACACACGGCCTTCCCGCATTTCCGGCAGTGGTGCTGGGAGAAAAGGGAAACAGGCTCCATGGTTCCGGCTGCAGTGCTGGCACACTAGCAAACCAACTGCTGTTGTGAGGACACCAGGCCAGAGTGCCCCAGAGCTGGCCATGGTAGCACAGGCTCACAATCCCAGCACTTGGGAGACTGACGCCAGGTGACCAAATATCTGAAGCCAGACTGGGACTTATTTGTATCTTAGGTAGAAGGGCTAATTTATAGTTGACGAAGGTAAACCAGAATATTTAACATGATTTACGTACTACAAAGTGCTAAAAGAATTAGACCAGTTATCCCCCAGTAAATCACTGAATATGTGATATACATGATACCACACCATAACACACACACACATACACACACCACACAACACACCACAACAGTGTCCTGAAACCCACTAAGGGCATACCAGGTTTCTACTCCTTCTAATTTTGGTCTCAGTTCAGAGTAAGGACTTCTGGGAAGTGTGCCTCCCCTCTGTCTCCCATTCTCCATCCTCTTCCCCTACCGTTGATGTGAGCTGCACACAGAGGCGGCACCCAATGGCCAGATCTGAAAGCTGGCTCAACTGAGGAAGCGCTGCTACTTTGAGATGGCCTCTGATCCCGCCCATTGTCTCAGACTCTAGCAGTGTCCAACCCAGGAAATCTAACACTTGATCTCCACGGAGAAGACCAAACCAAACCATGAAATCAGATCAACCAAGTCAGAAGGAGGGAAAGTGAACAATTAAGAAGTAGACATCCTCATGTAATTTCTTGGTTTGGAGCCAACATGAGCTAATCTGACACCTCTAATATTAAGGTACATATCAGTAGATGCTGTTAGAATTTTAAAACTCAAGTACTGAGAACAAACCACTAGGAAACCTAATCTATTAGGGCTGCAACAAACATTTAGGTGTCACAGGTATGAAATCACTTAGTCCACTATAACTCCCAACCAGGGGACTACTACTTCTATAATTATATGGTTAAGTCACTTCCAAACACTACACTTTAATACAGCACATATTACCTACCTGTCTTAGGCCAATTTTCTTATTATCCCACATTTGCTTGAAGTTCCAGAAGAAAGGCTGGTCACACTTCTGGCAGGAATCACTGTCCAGCCACTCAGGGGTCTTTTCAAATAAAGCGAGAGCAGCCACAATGAGAGGCGGTATGACAAAGGAACCGTGGACACTGGCTAAACTTCCAGAACCAGGACATGTTTATAGAAACGGCTGGTTCCTCAGTCAGTCACAAAAGTAGTTACAGAAAGTTTGCTAATTGTCAGGCCCTGAGGATGGGATACAGTGGGAAATAAAAAGAACCTAAAATCACAGAGTTTATAATAGGGGACTTGTCAGGAAAATATTATTAATAATCAAAATGTCCGAGAGTTTGAAAGCCTAAGGGTTGGTGAGGTAGACCAGAGGCTCTGATGCAGGCTGCGTGTGTGTGTGTGTGTGTGTGTGTGTGTGTGTGTGTGTGTGTGTGTGTCCTTTAAAGAAGGCAAGTCAGCTGAGACCTGAAGCAGGAAGAGAGGAGGAGAAGAGGCGGGGGTGGGGGGGGAGGGAGCTGAGTGAAACTTCAGCATGGCTGGAAGGCAGACCACAGGAACGGTGAAGGTGGAGGGAGTGACAGGTGTCACTCTCGGCAGGCTCCTGACGGTCAGGCTGAGAACTTCAGTCCCTAGTCTCTAATAACACACCATGATGTCTAATTGCACATTACATATATATGTAACCCCATAAGTGGTCTACATTAAGTCGGACAGGTTGTAAAAATATGTTCTGCTTAAAGGTATACTTTAGCAGATCCTGCATATGTGTGTTGTGTACATGTTATATGAGTGCATGTGTGAGTGTATTTATTGGGGAATGAACCGAGGACCTCATACATTTCAAGTAAGCACTCTCCCACTGAGCTGCAGCAGGTTGGAAAGAGCTTAAATGGTTCTGGGACAGGAAGTGGAGACAGAACTAGACTTGTAGTGCAGCATGTCTGTGTGTACACCACACACACTCATATAAATTTCCACATCCACACATACACCACATCTACACATCATACCCACAGATATACACTCACACATACACACACCACACACATGTACACCATACACACTCATACAGATATACACACATTTTACACATACACCACGCATTCTGATATACACACCTACAAATCTCACAATACACTAATGCACTTATATATTTACACATACCTTACATATGCATCATATACACTCATATACATACACACCACACATACATACCACCCTCCTCACTGCCACACTCACACATACACATTAAACACATACCACAAACACATACATACACGCACCACATATATACCACCCTCCCCACCCCCACACTCACACATATACATAACACACACACCACACACTCACACATACAACAGACATCTGCACACTCTGACCACACACACCTTTACACATACACTCACACACATCTGGGTGTAAAATGTATCATAGTGAGTGTCTATGATGAGGGCATTCAGAGAAAAACAATCAGTACATTTAATAAGATTCCATTTTTTGTTAAAAGAATTTTTGTAAATGTAGAGAAAAACAGAAGGATGGATGTCTGCCAAAATGGAGAGTCTTTGTTAAGTCATAGATTTTTGTAAATATGATATTTCTGGATGGTGGTATCACAATTAGCAGACTTGTTTTTTATTAATGAGTATTTTCTAACTTTTCTACAAAGAGTGTGTGCTATATCTAAGAATATGTAAATGACTGATTTCATTAGCCGTATAGACAAACACACAGTTAGCATCTTAGGTGTCGTGCTAATCTGCATCCAGCCATCCTGGGTCCTCCCTCGCCTGCCCTATACCGTCTTCTATCTGCAACTCCTTTGCCTGACTGTTGCTAACTTCCTAGCAGCTCTGACACACGACAGCAACCTCTCACACCCACCCCGCTCTTACTCCAGGGGTTTCTTAGTCTGTAAAGTCCACGACTCTCCCAGTGCAGGCCCACTGAACCCTTCCTTGACAGCCAGTTATAACATCCCTTCCAAAATACCCAGCACTGACATTCTAACTAGTGTTGACTGTAAGTTCATTACTTATACCATAATGCTACTCTGAACATTCTAGAAAGTCTGTCAGCACTTCAGGTTAGAACAAACTTCATTACTGTTAGCATCCCACAGCCTCTGCCATAACTAGGAAGCAATTCCCAGATGCCTATGAAATATGGTATTTGTAAAAGATGGATGGAATCATTCTCATTGCTCATCAGAGCTTCTAATTAACAAGATCTTAAACCATCAGCAAATGCTGAATGTTCATATATATGCATGCCAAAATGGTTCAAAGCTGGCTCTCAAACGCCTACTTGCATCATTGGAAACAACACTGATATGTTCCTTTGGGTTGTTCTTCCATTAAAAACAAACAAAAAAAGCACTCAAAAGCCAGGCCTGAATCAGGTCTGATTGTCCCTAACCCAAAGCAAGTCAGGACATGATCCCCAGTCCTAGGGGAGCCTGCTTCACGTGAGTAGCATGGGCTGCAATGATCCCTGCCTGTACCTGGAGGGTGCCAAGTGTACTTTTCAAAAGCAATATTCTACATTTCCTGGCTTCCTACCACTAAGGATCATTTTAATTAGTTACTAATAGAACGCCTGTGGATTTATGGTTCCACGAAATAAAGCTGTAATCTTCCTAAGCGTTTGGTTACTGGCATCTGGAGGCACTGCAGTGTGGGTAACACCAGTGACTCTCTTGGGATGAAACTGGGGTGAGGGGATGGAAAAAACTGGGGAAATTTTGTCTTTATAAAGTGTGTTTTTTCTATTTAATTTTCATACCCTGCAAGAAATAAATGACAAGAATGCTGACCGTCAAAGGGAAAGTTTACCTGGAATAATTCTAGGTCAATAAGAAAAGGTTAACTTCAAAATACTTGTCCTACAAATGTTCAGTAAGCATTTAATTCTTAAAATGCTTATATATTAAAAAGCATAACTAATTTAAAGTATTATGGAAAATTTAAATATGTGCTTAAGAAGAGGGGACATCATGTTTGGGGACTATTTAGAACATGACTAACAATTACAAGAACATTATCTCCTGTATTTCCATTAAAACCAAGCTAAGAGCTCTTACTCCACAGGAGTTTTCTAACTTAGGGCATAATGTATCTTATTTCGTGGTTTAATCACTACTGAAATAAGCAGGAGGGGAGCAGAGACAGCTGTAGGTCTCACCCAGAGTGCTGTCACTCACTTACCTCCTGCCTTTCCACATCCATGTTCCAGACAACAATGCCACCGTCACCACCACATGAGATGAGCTGCCTTGTGTGCTGTGCATAGGAGAGGGCTCGGACTTTGTCACTGTGGAAGAAACCAACAGTTGGGGGCCAGTTCAGGAGCAAACAACATGTGCCACCGCAGAAAGCCCATCAGAGCCAGACAATACTCAGATTCAACACTGAGCTTTAACGAGTAACCAGGAATCTTTACAGACTCAGCAGCATGCAATGGTCAGACCTAAAGAAGGTACTTGTAGTCAGTTACCAACACTCAAATAAGAGATGATTGCTGGGATGACCATAACATCTTGTTAACTCTCCCTTAGGGGGTTTTTGTGTCACAGCGGAAACTCTGGTGCATTTGCTTCGTAGTCTCTAAAATGCTTGTGTAAGGCAGTTCTCCATTGTCTCTATCCTCCCTCCCCCTGGTCTCTGCATGAAATATCAGCTAGTTACTGCTATGCATATGCGGTGGGAGGTGGGACCTTGGTGGGAAGCCCCATGGCGGGTGAAAGACAGAGGAGACCTACAGACAAAAGTTTACATGGAAAGTTTGTTGGAGGAAGGGAGTAAGGAAAGGGAAGAGAGAGACATAGACAGGGCTAGAGAGAGAGGGCTGCCTCCTCAGAGAAACAGCAGGAAGAGAAGAGAGGAAAGCGGGGGAGGGGGGGGCTTGTCCCTTGGAAGAACCTTTGCACCTGCGTCCAGAGCCAGGGTTCGGCCTGCATGTGTGCCAGGTGCCCCAGGGGTGGGGCCAGGCTTGCATCTGCCTGGGTGGTAACAGTTACTTTGGTGATTATTACAGTTAAATTGAGTAGTTAAAACTCTGTCAGCTGGTGTCAGCTATGGCAGCAGACTTTAACTTCTGCATCTTGGGGAGACACATGCGAGGCTCAAAGTCCATTGTCCTGGAGCCTCTGTTACTTTTAAAACTTACTTGAGGAAACCATAGAACCTTGATTTAAAACACTGATAAAGTAAGTATATACTATATTTTTAGATTAAAATGAGAATAAAATAGATTCATTTGAAATTTGCAATGAGGAACCCATTCTACTTGGGCATTGTATATATTAAATGGAAAAATCATTTTCCCTAACAGAAAATGTGATGAGGAAAATTCAATGTTTGACATTCTTGAGATCCTTCCTACTTCGAGGCTTAGTAAAAGACAGATACTCAGTTTCCTGTGTTTATTAAGACCACTCAGCATCTAGCCTGAGAAAACCCCACTGTTCCCTTTGGATGGAAGGAGAATGCCAAATGGTCCCAGGATGAGGGGTACACTTGGAAGGAGGCAGCGGGTTCTGTTTCACAGAGGGAAGCCCATCACGGTGCTGGTCATGTCCCCAGCCGGAACTGCTTTTTTGATGCACCGATACGGCCTGTGACCACACCGTGAAAGGACACACTTCACTGCCTGTGGGACTGCCTAGCTGGCGGTCTGCCCTCAGAATAAAGTTTGATCCTGTCTATTAACTTGACTGACGCCCTTGATTTTTGTTTTAAGAGGGAGGGAGATAAAGGGCATTCACTTGAGAAAAGGGCTCCATCCTTTAAATTGGCATTATTTTCAGTATTTATAAGGTATTTATTACTACTTTGCTTTGATAGCCAGTGTTCCTTTCTTAGCCAAGGATCCCAGACTCAGCAGCAAGGTTGATTTTGTTCTTTTACACCAAATCACTTTTCAGAAAAAAAAATTTAATCTTCAAGATGTTTCATGTCAGTACTCTCTCAAGAGACTTCCCAAAGAGGTCCTGTGATACATTCTTTTTTTGTTTGTTTGTTTTTTGTTTTTTGTTTTTCGAGACAGGGTTCCTCTGTGTAGGTTTGGATGTCTCTGCCTCCTAAGTGCTTGAATTAAAGGCATGTACCACCAATTCCCGGCGACTATCTTTTTTATGATTTATTTATTCTTATTTATGTGCATTGGTGTTTTGTCTGCATATACATCTGTGGAGTTACAGGCAGTTGTAAGCTGCCATGTGGGTGCTGGGAATTGAACCCGGGTCCTCTGGAAGAACAGCCAGTGCTTTTAACCACTGAACCATCTCTGCAGTCCCTAATTACTTTTTATCAATAGAAAATCAGGAGTCAGATATCAGGGTAAGAAACTGAATGATCAGAGAACCAGCGGAGAAACAATCAGTGACTTCCTATCTCTTCCCTTCCTTCATCCAAAAGGCTGAGATCTTCTCTAGGCCCCACCTTACTACTTCCTGTCTTTCTATCTTCAGTCCTCCAAAACCTCTATGGTTAATTTTTGGTCAGCTAGTGGTTAGCTCTGCCCTCTAATTCAAAGCAAGCTTTATTGTCAGAACACAATCAAAATATCACACAACAGTCCTAGAAAACCATAAAGATCTGGTCCTTCACCTTAAGGAGATACTATGTACAACTATGTTACATGTTACTACACACAATTGTATTACATGTGTTATTATTTATTTGTAGAATCAAGTTCTAGGCTGGAACTAGCAGCAGAATCCTACTGCTGTAAGTGAGGCTTTACGTTCAAAACCTGACATCACAAAAAGAAAAACAAAACAGATCCAGGCATAGAACCTCATACTGGTAATCCTAGCACTGAGAGGTAGAGGCGGGAGAGCTGCCATGAATTTGTGGCTGGGATGGGCAACACCAAGTTCCAAGGCAGTCTAGGCTATCTTGTGAGACCCTGTGACAGAGCAATCACTAAGTCCTTAAATCACTACAGGCTACAGCTCTCCTTTGTATTACTCTGATGTCTGTCTGAAGGTCAAGTCAGACTTCCAAAAAGGATGGCTTCAGTGCTTCAAGAAAAGGATCACATCCATCAGTATTTGAAAGCACTGACATTGTGAAGAACAGATCCCTGGTCACAGGCTATTGCATGCCATCACAGTGGTCAGACAGGGTTTAAACTGTGAAGTGAACTAATCAGGATTCCCTTAAAGTAAGGGGACTCACTTTATTCTGGTAGCAGATGGCATTAATGAACAGGCCACTAAACCAGGATCCAGCAGAACAAGAATTACAGCTTACTCACAGAACAAAAGGAACACAGATTGTGGATGTGTTGTCTAGAGTCCTGTTGATTAAAATATTTTATTTTCTGGATATATAATGATGTCTTTCTGCTTCCTTTAAGACATGTCTAACCTACAATCTAGTAAATTCCACTTTTATAATCCAAAGCAAAACATTCAAAAACAACAAAAAGACAGTCTCACACTGTCCATAACTCCAAGATGTTAAGACTTCCCTTAATTTTCATAATAATACAGCTATTCAACGGGTTCTACAACAATCAATCCACAGAGAATGGGGGAAGGGGTCAATCTGAAAAGTACTTATCACACAAACATGACCTGAGTTCGGGTTCCAGCACCCACATAAAAAGCTAAATACGCTTCCCAGTACTGAGAAGGCAGAGACAGGAGGATCCCCAGGACTCTGGCCAGCCAGCCTAGCTGAATCAGTGAACTCTAGGTTCAGTGAGATAACCTGTCTTAAAAAAATAAGGTAAGAGCTGGGCGTTGGTGGCACACACCTTTAATCCCAGCACTGGGGAGGCAGAGGCAGGTGGATCTCTGTGACTTCAAGGCCAGCCTGGTCTACAGAGCAAGTTCCAGGATAGCTAGGGCTGTTACACAGGGAAGCCCTGTATCAAAAAACAAAATAATAATAATAATAATAATAATAAATAAAATAAAAATAAGGTAAGAAGCAATTGAGGATGACATCCAATATCAATCATTTGTTTCCACACACAGTGCCCCTCATGAACATGCACACAACCACATCCACCTATACACACACAAGAGAACAGCCCAACAAACCAACTGCACAGTCAAGCCTCTTTCATATTTGAGAACAATGCTCACTGAGTCCGAAGTGCCTTGCCACTACGAGTTTATGAAGCCAAGGGCTATAAAATCCTCACAGCAAAACTGCTTAGTACAAAGACATGCAGTCCACCAGGAACTGGGATGCTGGACACCAGGGATTTACCAATGAAGATGTATTAGGTAAAGAGTTTTCCAGGATGGTTTCCCAGCCATGGTGAAGCAAGGAACAGAGGCTCAGAAAAAAAAAAAAAAGCCATCTAACAAGTTTGTAACAACGACCAGGCAGAAGTTAGTATTTTGGAAGTGAACAGAACTCTGTGTGGATCTAGGTAGGCAGAGCCTAAGAAGGAATGCATTATTCACTGGCGTTCACGGCAGAAATAGAAACAATTAGGCCATACTTTATGAGGCTGGCCCACCTTCCTTCCCATCTTTCTTGTGATCAAATGTAATCCTTCACAATCAGGAGTGATGGCAACACCAGTAATCCCAGCACTAGAGAGACATAAGAAGATACCAAGTTCAAGACTGGCCTGGGCTACACAGCAAGACTTTCTAAAAATAAGCAAATAAAAACAATTTTTAAAAAGCAAACAAGCCAAATCTTTGTTTTATAAATTATTATGGTCACAGAGCTGGGGAAGTCAAGCTGTCAAGTAGACAGACAAGCTTGAAATGGGCAAAATGAAATGATGAAGTGTATTTTCACACTGTGTCAGCTGGGAGCCTGCACACTTTTCTGGGTTATTGATTCGACAGGGTCTGTATTAATAGTACATCTGACCGCTATTTTACAACCTTGTATCACACAAAATTGGCGGCTGCTTCACAATCCTGTCAGTTGTGACATACAAAGCTGTCAGTACCAGCAAAGATAGCACTATCCCTAGTCCCCACTCAGCCCATGAGAAAGCCAGCTGTGTATCCACATAAAATTAACTTCGGCATTCATTCTGTGTGGGCATAGCTGTGGGAAGGGGGGCACATGCATATGGAGGTCAGAGGTCAACCTTGGGTATCATTGCTAAGATGTCTTCCATCTGTTGTTGTTGTTTTGCTTAAGGCTACACTGGCTAAGCAGCAAAGCCCATCCATCTCTCTCTGCTTCAGCAGCCCTATGATTACAAGAACACATTGCCATGCCCGCCTCTTTATATGGATTCAAGTGATCAACTCAACTTTGTGTGGCCAGCACTTGTGACTCAGCCATTTCCCCAGCCCTCACTTTAGCATTTTCTACTGCTTATGT